TTGAGATTTATTGTAATATATGAGCTCACTTATCGTTTATTGAGATTTATTGTAATATATGAGCTCATTTATCAATTTAAGTTATATAAATTGAATTGGTCTTCTTTTTAGCTTCTAAACTTTTTTATATTATGCCAATCAAGAGCATTAACTGATGTATTAGAACGATTATCCGAAAAACCAGTGCTTTTTCCTAACGCAGCTTTATATATCGCATAAAATTCAAAGTTTGGCTTAGCGTTAACAAAAAAAACTCAATTTTCTTTTTCGCTTCGCAAAGAAAAGTCCCAGGGAGCGATAAAATCTATATGTACAAGATTCAGTTTTTAAAAGTTTGTTTCTTGACTAATCAATATAACAAGTTTAGATGTAAAACGCGCTCATAAAGAATATATCGATATTATCGATATAGATCAGCAAAATTTTCTAGAATCAGTTTAAGTTATCACCTCTCAATTCTGGGGTACTCACAGATTCATCAAATTTTTTCAGGTCCCTGTTATATTATATTTCACACTTGAACAGGAAAATCTGAGGAAGTTGAATCAATCACGTATTGGTAAACCCCTGGTTGTTGAACTAAAATCTGTTTGCCCGAATTCTATATTCGAGCTCTTCGATGATTTCGTAATGCCGTCCAGCCTTTAAAAAAATTCATAAATTCATAACGATAACGATAATGCTGGGCAAAATTTTCGATAGATTCTAGTAGGCCAATAGAAACATCCCGCAAACTCGCAATCGATAAGGGGATGATTTACACTGTCACAATATTTTTTTTTGTCAAGGGTATTTATCATTAGGTGATTTAGTTATATATTTATTTACTAATAAATATTAGAATTGACTATTTTATATTTTATTACTTTGTTTCTCTCAAAAACATTTTTTTCCTACTCCAATTTGGTATTCACTCACACATCACCCCAACTAATTGTCTAGCCAACCAACCAACTTCAACTTTATTTTTTTACCAGATACTTTTTCATCCTCATCGACAAATTCTCTACAACTTCACTAAATTCATATAGTAGTAATAGCCAAATTTATTCTTAATAATGAGTTCAAGCAGACGTGGAACTAGTATTCGTTCATCGACTGCTACCGCTACTACCACTACCAACAGCGCAGCTGCTTCAACTTCTAATTCAAGTAAAGCCAGCAAAGCAAATCCAGGTGTAGCAAGTAGCAGTGCCAAAAGGTTTGTTGTAATACAGAAAGAAGCTATAATAAATTTCTCAAAATTACAAAATTTGACGCGTCAATTTGGAATTTCTTTGAGTGAACAAGAAATTTCAGTTAGACCCTTATGGAAAGAGAAATAGGATACATAGCTTCACGTTACTTACTCGCCTTTTGTTTCATTATGCATGCATGCATGTATAAATTTTGCATGCGAAAACTAGAATTCAAAAAGAACTTGCGGAAATCAGTCTCGATCCTCCCTGTAATTGCAGGTTTGTATTTCAATCAATTTATTGATAAATGGGGATTTTCGACTGTCTCGTTGATTTTGTTGGTTACTACAACCATCGATAGTTCTATATAACTAGGGAGAAAATTTTCTCATTGGTATCCATTGGTTTTTTGTTTACGAGAATAATTAATGCTAATTTTATTCTCATTTGATAATAGTGCTGGACCCAAAGGTGACAACTTGTATGAATGGGTGTCCACAATTGTAGGACCTGCTGAATCACCTTACGCTACGGGGATTTTCTTCTTGGACATTACTTTTCCACAGGATTACCCCTTTAAGCCTCCAAAGGTTATTATCGCCTACTTATTGTGATAGACGACGCTCCCGTCACCATATCTTGATATTTTATAATTCACAAATAATTCTTGCATCCTTTAGGTTATCTTCCGTACGCGTATCTATCACTGCAATATCAATTCAACCGGCGCAATTTGTCTTGACATTCTCAAAGACAATTGGTCTCCCGCGCTAACCATCTCTAAAGTACTATTGTCCATATGCTCGCTATTGACAGATGCCAATCCACGTAATTATAGAATCTATTTTTTTTTTCATACATCCGTTCATTCTTCCTTCCTTCCTTCCTTCCTTCATTTTTTCTTTACCCGAAACAATTAATGTTTATCGTTATTATGATTTAGATGATCCCTTGGTAGGAAGTATTGCAAATCAATACCTGCATGATCGTGAGGAACATGATAAGACTGCTAGGGAGTGGACTAAACGGTATGTAATAATGTGATATTCGATGCCAAAGTATAAAAAATAGAACGTTTTGAGATTATTGGGGTTTTGTATTTTATTATCGCATATCCTCTGGAAGAATCATAGTAACTGATAATTTTCTTTTTTCTTTACAGTTATGCTTCCTGATCGTTTGGGTGGGTGAACGTAACATGTATAAAAAATATTTAATATATATTCATAAGTACATATTATTGGTGATATTATCTCTTCCCTTCTTATCCCTTTTCGGCTTTTATTGCGATGACACCTTTACCTTAACTTGAACACTTTACTACTTAATTAACTTGCATTGATAGAAATCCAACCACTATCTAATCAAATAAATAAACCCCGTATTTTTTTCCTTAACATTATCATACTCGAAGTTGAGTATGGTTTTTTATTAGTTATATAGTTTGTTTCTAATCCTCCTATACTTCTTTAATATTATTACCACTACCCTTATCAATAATTTGAATATCTTTTTTCCTCCCTTGCTTATTGTAGACTTCTTGCTGTTTTATTATCAAATCATTATCTTGTAAAGTACAAAAAAGGCTCGATCAAGTTATTATAGCAACATATATCATAAATAATATATAACTATTATTATTGATTTCTTTTCGTTACGAAACGGTAACGGTAAGTTTAACTATAATGTGTAAAGCCACACAACCGTTAAATTATTAGAGTTACCGTTTAACGATAACATGATTTCTCGAAGAGGATGTGACTATATAAGGGTGACATCAGAATCTGTCCAAGGTTTTGTCGATCCCGGGAATTATGCTTCAATTCTTAAAGGTCAATTTTAAGGAAGATTAGGTTATAAAAATCGCCTCCCTGACATATTTGATTTTTTGTATTGTGTCGGATTTGTTTTGCCGGGTTGGTGTTTCTGATAAAAATCCGCGTATTCTTATTTGCTGCTGGCTGATGATCATTCGAACCTGACTCACAATATTTATAAATGACTCATCGGCGGTCGTTAAAAAACTCGTGTAAAGTTTAGGGGAAAAGAAGGAATTAAGAAAGGAAAAATGTCCAACGCAACCACCGAAGAACCAAAAAAGACAGCAAAACGCGATGCATTACGCGCAACCGAGCACCGAATCCAAAAAATATGGCAAGATGCCAAAGTCTTCGAAGTGAATGCACCGACTCTAGACGAGATCTCGCTTGAACAAGAGATCTCTGGCGAAATCAAGTTGCATGAACGGTACCCAAAGTATATGGGCACTTTTCCTTATCCATACATGAATGGAAGATTACATTTAGGTCATTTTTTCACAATTATTAAACTGGAATTTGCTACCGGATATGAACGAATGAAGGGAAAACGGGCATTGTTTCCGTTGGGTTTTCACTGTACTGGTATGCCGATAAAGGTGGGTGAGTGATAGCGAGAAAAGAAGAATATTTAATTTATGAGGAATTGATGCGCGGTGTTATCAGAGTATTCATAATTAATTTTAATAAATCATTATTCATTTTATAGGCATGTGCAGATAAGCTAGCACGAGAAATAAAGGAATTCGGTCCAAATTTTGAAATACCAAATGAAATAGAAGATATTGTTAACGATTTAACATTGAACGATAGCACTGACCCAAATTCTGCCGCAACTACCACAAATTCCTCTAGCATATCCGGAAAAACTGTGAATAAAAAAGGAAAAGTTGCGGCAAAATCTACCGGACAGAAATATCAATTTCAAATTATGCGTAGTATCGGAGTACCCGAAAAAGAGATTGCTAATTTTGCTGATGCAAATTATTGGTTATCGTATTTTCCGCCGTTGGCTATTGTAAGTGCTCTGATTTATTTTTTTCCGTTTCTTTTTTATACATTTATATATTTTGATATTATTTTTAGCAAGACTGTAAATCCATAGGAGCAAAAATTGATTGGCGCCGTTCATTCATTACCACTGACGTCAATCCATATTACGACTCATTTGTGTGTTGGCAAATGCGAAAACTAAAATCACTAAATAAAATAAAGTTTGGCGAGCGATACACGATTTATTCACCGTTGGATGGACAGCCGTGTATGGACCACGATCGACAAAGTGGAGAAGGTGTCGGACCACAAGAGTATACAGTGATTAAGTTGAAGGTTATTGAGTGGAGCGAGAAGGCGAAAAGTGCAATTACTCCATTCGAGCATTTGTTGAGTGAAAAATCTATTTTCCTTGTGGCTGCCACTCTTCGACCTGAAACAATGCGAGTCTTCATTATTATTTAACCTTTGCTTTTAACATTTTAAAATGAGCAAAACAAATTAATAATATATTTTTATTTAGGTTTGGCCAAACAAATTGCTTTGTTGGTACAGAGATTACTTATGGCCTTTTCAAAATCAATGAAACCGACATATTTTTGTGCACGAAACGAGCAGCAAGGAACATGGCGTTTCAAGGGTACTCGAATGAACGAGGTTTAGTAACTCAATTAGCAGAAATAAAAGGTGCTGCATTAATAGGCACAAAAGTTAAGGCCCCTCTAAGTAAATACGAAGGCGTATATGTACTTCCAATGGAGAACGTTCTGTCTACAAAAGGAACTGGTGTAGTAACATCTGTTCCTTCCGACTCGCCTGATGACTTTGCCACTTTACAAGACCTAAAGAAGAAACCTGAATACTACAACATTAATCCCGCCTGGGCTGATTTTGAACCTATCCCCATAATCAACACCCCCACATATGGAGACTTGTCAGCGCCAGCTGTATGCAAACTAAAGAAAATCAATTCACAAAAAGATCGTGTGCAATTGGCGGAAGCCAAAGAACTTGTCTACAAAGAAGGATTTTATAATGGTACAATGATTTACGAGACTTTCAAGGGTCGAACTGTGCAAGAGGCGAAACCGCTGATTAAAGATTTGTTGATATCAACTGGTCAAGGGTTTATCTACAATGAACCGGAGAGTTTGGTGATGTCTCGATCAGGGGATGAATGTGTTGTGGCGTTGTGTGATCAGTGGTATTTGGATTATGGGGAGGAAAAATGGCGAAAGCAAGCAGAAGACTGTTTGTCTAAAATGAATACTTACGGAAACGAGACAAGGCATCAGTTTGAACAAACTTTGGCTTGGTTGAACCAATGGGCCTGTGCGAGATCATATGGTCTTGGTAGTAGATTACCTTGGGATCCACAATATTTGGTGGAAAGTTTATCGGATTCTACTATTTATATGGCTTATTACACAGTGGCTCATTTATTACATGGTAATTTTCGTTATCAAGTCTATTATTTATTAGAATATGTTATTAAATCTTTGATATAATCAGGAGGAACACTCGATGGATCAAAGCCAGGACCTCTTGGCATCAAACCCTCCGAACTAACAGATGAAGCATGGGATTACATTTTCACTGACTCGGCTTCATACCCCACCAACACCACAATTTCCAAAGAAAAACTCGACACATTAAAACGCGAATTTAAATATTTTTATCCGCTGGATATTCGAATATCCGGCAAAGACCTAATCCCCAACCATCTTACTTTTTTCATATACAACCACGTCGCCATTTTCCCAGAAAATTATTGGCCAAAAGGTGTGCGTGCAAATGGCCATCTACAATTAAACCGTGAGAAAATGAGTAAAAGTACCGGAAATTTTATGACCGGCTCAGATGCTATTGAAAAATACGGCGCGGATGCTACACGTGTTGCGCTTGCTGATGCTGGGGACGCAATTGAGGATGCTAATTTTGAAGAGTCAACTGCTAATGCGGCTATTCTTCGTCTTTATACTTTGAGGGAGTGGTGCGAGGTATTTAAATGATAAAAATCAAAAATTTTATTTTTCATGCATTGCTGATTGATAGCTATACACTTAATTATGCGTACTTAGAGTCAAGTAAAGAATAAGGATGCTTTACGAACAGGTCCTGTGACCAGTTTCCATGATCAAGTATTTATTAATGAGGTTAACAAGTTTATACAAATGACAGATAAAGCGTATGAAGAGTAAGTATTGTGTATAAATTTCACTATGGCCCCTTGATTACAGAGGCTGCGACTGTATTCGCTAATATGGAATATATATATATATATATAAAATAGTACTTTATATCGTGAAGCACTCAAATACGGTTTCTACGAATTACAATCAGCACGCGACTGGTATCGAGAAGCCACATCGCAAGAAGGAATGCATCGTGATTTGGTGTTGTGGTGGATAGAAGTTCAAACGTTGTTACTTGCTCCGATTGCACCTCATTGGTCAGAACATATATGGCAGGATCTTCTGAAAAAGGTTTGTAATATTTGGGATTTTCAAATTAATATTTTAAGGTTTGATTTTAATTTTTGATAGCATATTGCTGCCATATTTGTAGGATAGTCTCATTGTCAATGCACAATTCCCGAAAGCGACTGCATCTCCGGACGAAAGCATTCTCAAAGCCGCCGAATACGTACGAAAAATGATCAAATCCGTACGAGACCTTGAGAATGCAACACAACGAAAGAAAAAGAAGGGAAAGGTCGAACAATTTAATCCTTCAAAACCGAAGCATTTGAACTTGTTTGTGGCTACTAAGTTTCCCGAGTGGCAAGATTCGACGGTCGATGTATTAAGACAGAGTTATAATGAGGTATGACAATTTGTCGATTTTTCTTTGATAATTAGTCATGACCTTAATACATTACAAAACATAGGAAACACAAACATTCGACGACGCAAAAATCCGCACAATTTTAACCGAAAAAGGGCTCTTGAAAAACAAAAAAACAATGCCATTCGTGCAAGAATTCAAGAAACGTGTCGAGAAATTTGGCGCTTCAGTGGCATTTGATCGTGCGCTGTTGTTTGATGAGTATGACACACTCATCACTACATGCGAATTCTTTAAACGTAGTTTGGGATATGAGAAGTTGGATGTTTATAAGTCGGAGGAAGTTGTTGGTGTTAATACTGATAGTCATCCTGTTGAAGATCAGAACGCGGCCGAGGCTGCTGTTCCTGGCGAACCAGGGGTTGTATTTAGGAACATTTAAAGTGTATTTTAATAAAATTATTTCGATCGAGTAGTACAAGATCAATTAATAAACAAATCGCGCGTTTTTATTCTGCTAATAATAAATATGTCTTCGATATCTTCGTCGCCGCCACCTCCACCTCCACCACCCCCACCACCACCAATACAACTACAAGAAAATTCAACCTCGACTTCACAAACACCGCAGCCCACGTCACCTACAACCTCAACAGCTTCTTCCTCCACAAATTTACAAGAATCAACTAGAATTGTGTCGGGTTCTGGTGGTGGTGGTGGTGGAAGTTCTACTGACTTGGACTTGTCGGATGTGCATTCACCGTTGGAACTTACTGGTTATGTATGTTTTTTTTTAGAGGCGGTGTTTAAACTAGGCTGGAGAGATGTTGTTTATAAAACCCGTGATTTACTACTGCTATATAAATTAATTGGACACTTTTATAAATTTGATTTAGGTGGAAACTGTTATACAGCAACTGGTAAGTATTTTCGTGACTTGTTTTTTGGTTATTCATTTCATTTTCCTCTTCTATGATATATTAGCAAACGAAATTCGATGACTTGTCCTCAAAATTGATATCCAAAAGTAAATTAAATAACTTTTTTTAGTCTTAACATTTCGATCTTAATAATTTGTTCTTATAAATTTGAATTAATTTATTTAGTGGAAGACATGGGAACACGAATAGACTCGCTCGAGAAGTCGCTTGGCGAATTGATGCAACAAGCTATCGCGGAAGAGGTTCTTTTGCAGGAGGCGACTAACAACTAACAATTATTTGTCGTCATCTTCGTAAAAATAGTACCTTTTTTATTTCCGTATTTTTTTATCTTTAATTTATTCGAAATGATTACATATCCTAAAAAAGTTAGATATCAAACTATTTTTCTATCATTTTATAACTAATCGATCCCATCTCTATAATATGTATAATAAAAAATAAAAACATATCAAAAGGAATAATCAACCACCCAAATCCATTTACCCAACCCATTACTTTGTTGAAGCAGCAGTAGTAGTTACAGTAGACGACTGAGCTTCTCTCTTTTTCACACCACCATCACTTTCCGACAAAGGAACTGACAACAAATCCATAATTCTTTCGAGCACTGGGTTACCACCAAGTCGTTCAATTTCGTCTCGTACTTTCTTCTCTGTTTTTGCGAGATATTGTTCGGTGTATCGAAACGATCCGGTTCCTTCCATTAGTTTTACGGCGTATTCCTTTAACTCAAGTGATGAGGTGTGTTGTTTTAGAATGTCTTTTTGGGAGGAAAATCAAAAATGTATTAGATATCGTCATTTATTGGAAAGAACAAATAATATTTCATTTCTTAGTAATTGGTTATTGATTACTTACTCATTAATTGATTATCTGATGGATCGGATTGTATCGAATGTATGATTGGGAATGAGAACTTCCCTTCAGTTAAATCTTCACAGTAACCTTTATTACCTATGTACTATTTATTGTACCATATAATTTCATTATTAATTAATGAATGGTGAATGAACTTAAGATATCGTTTTTTACTTACGACAGCGGATTGTAAATTCATGTAATCATCTCTAACTTGAAAGTGTATACCGATATCGTTTACTAGATTTACATAATCCTTGCTAAAAAAAATAAATTTTTTTAGAAGTCTGATATCATGTGAACACGAAAAACAAGAATATTTACTCGTTTATATTGCTAGCCTCGGTCATTAATTTCACAGCAAGTCTTAAAAGACCACCGGTTTCTTTATATTAAAATAAATAAATTAGCATCGTAATAATCACTATCAATTCATCACGTGATCAATATACAAATCACTCACTATTTGAAACCATTTCAATAAACTCTTCTTCAGATGGACACACCACGTGATCACGCCAATACAATTCCATTCCCTGTCCACGATGCAAATTCATCAATTCTTCAGTATAGATCTTTATCAATTTAGCATTCTCGAGTTTTACGAGTTCATTTAACGCGAGAAAATATACGTAGTTGGCGCAGTTGATTGTCGCTGGTATACCATAGATTTGGTGTGCGGCTAATAGTTGTGTATGATGAATAAATTTCAATAAAAGATGGTAAGAAGTAAAAAAAAAAAATTGCAAATCATATTATTGTCTACCTGGAACACCCCGTCTTAATGTAGAACTATCTTCTACATCATCAATCCTGTTTTTTGGGTAAGTGAAGTTCTGAGGAGAACCAAATATGCGCATAAAAATCAAAATATCCCAAATACTTACAACAAACTTGCAGTATGTAGCATTTCTACGATTTTTGTTATAACGACTAGTTGTTCTTTTGGAACTTTGAGCCAAAAATCAAATGCTGCAATCAGTTTACTTCGAATTTCTTTGCCAGGATGTTTGAGAAGGTGATTGTATGGTTGCAGTAGAATCTATGTTGGCGATAAGAAATCAAAGATAACTGATTCAAATCGATCATGGTTCGTCAATTGATGGCTTGATTTTATACCTCTTCTAATGCCCATGTTGCATTGTTGCTATTATCTTTATCAACATTTTTACTTGACAACGAACTAAGAATTGGTTTTGACGAGGATAAATTTTTGTCGATGTTTTCGATATTGATGTTGCTGTTGCCGAGACTTTTTCGTTGTGAGGATGATCTGTTGAGTTTAGAAAAGCTGCTGGCTACTTTTTTCATTGTCTTTGTTTAATTCTGGATAATTTTAAGTCTTTGATTTCAGAGAATGAACCAAGAGGGAGTAGAGTGTCCATACCGCTACTTATTATGATTTTTTTATAATTTGGACTGTAACGTAATCCATGTACTAGGTATTACATAATAAGGTAATGTTTGTACTCGGCATTACATATAAAATACGGGCATAAGAGCCTTTAATAGACCAAAATCTAGGTTTACTTCCAATTCTTGGCTGTTGCTTTTGTTAAATTTCCGGGAATTTCCTACAATCGGAGAATATCATTGATGCAGGTTAATCAATCAGTTGAATTTTTCCGATGGATTTTTGTTCTCATTTAGATTCCCATAAATAAAAAGAATTTACGTTTTGTCGATCCGGAAAATTTTACTATAATTGTTTAAAGTTAGCGTTAGGCAAGAATGACCATCGGTGTATGTTCCAAATCAAAATCTTAACCAAAACATAATCAATCTCCCCATACCGATACCCCCTATTTAGACCGGTTGTGATTTGGGGGCACAACATATATAAAAATTGCCTCCAGTAAAAGTGATACCCAAAAAGTTCTTGATCGCGAATAGAACTATTAAGCTTATCTTGTGTATCGAACAAATCGCTATTGTAAAAATGTTTGCGACAAATCGAAATTTCCATTCGGGTTTTCGGGTTTACGCAACGAATTTGACACTTACGTAAAACAATAACTCAAATTTAAACTTTAATGAACAAAAATTATCTCGTTGAAAACAAGAAACTAAAATTTCGGGATGCTTTCTATTATTGTTGTAACAGTTTTCGGGTCGGGCTGCACTCATTTAAGTAGCGATACCGCCATGACGAAAATAGTATATTGAAAGCATTAGATTAAAGTTAGGGTTAGGATTAAAGTTATATCACACATGAAACTACAAGTGTCTCCTGATATAAGAAAGTTGAATATAGGAAAGAAAAATTTGTAAATTATAATTAATAATAAACATAGTGCATATATATTAATACAACTTTGAATTACTATTACTTTGTCAAGAACTTGGCTTGACTAGCTTTATAATTTTACGATAAGAATTTTTATATCTATTGTATTCATATAAAATAAGCTCATTATCAAAATATAACAATGTAACGTTGGACATGTCATGTGATAGAAATTAGCCTTGGGCTACAGCCGACACTATGATAATTTATTATAGAATTAATGTAATATAAAAATAATTTACAGTCATATCTCCATATAAGCACGCCTCGGGAAACACCAAAAAGTGTGTCTATAAAAGGTAATTAGACTAAATTTTGAGATATATCCGATGGATTATCCCGTGTTCGGAAAATCGATCCTACGTCCTGGCGTTGTTGTGTAACTATAAAAGAGGTTGTGATTACACAGTCACCGTCGATATAACAGACACGATTGAGGTATATAATAAATTGCCGTCAATATAATGAATTCATTAATGATATAACGGACTTTTGAAATTTTTCACTAATGAACCGACCCGGTCCGTTATATCGACTTTGACTGTGTATATAGAGGTCAAATTTCTTATGCTTCATAACTGGGATCGGGAAAACCTGTGATTGTATGGAGGGTGTGATTGTATAGGTGTGACTGTAAGAGGTATGACTGTAATACATGATGGGTTACTCTAGTCATAATTTGTTTTGGAAAATTGATTTACACTGGTAATAAATATTTAGTGTGAAATATATCATCCTCTCTAAATTACATTAATCTCATTATATTAGAGAGTTACATACTAAGAAAATAGGAGCAATTAGTGGGCCAATTTTTCTTTTATTTCTCTATTAATAATTTTCTTAATCACGAGTATTTCCTCCAAAGTTCAATCGGAACCCACGATCAACACCCGACGCCATCTGGTTCTCAAAAATTGAGCCCAGAAATGCTGGATCGTCTTCATCAAATTCACCACCGTGATGTGCTCCTTTTGGAGCAGATGGACTAGCATAAGATTTTCTTCTATCAACATTTTTAATAACAATAAATAGTATGTGTTTTTTAAAACGTTTTACTTATTAGTAAAATAACAAAGTTTCTTTATTCACAGCATTTTTGCTTATAAAAAACACGCACCGTTCTCCACCGCCTTTTGAAGGCCACGTCGGAAACATTTCTGGATCTTTTGGTGCAGGTCGTTCTCTTTAAATTTATTAATTAGAAATTATCATTAGTATTAATATATTATTAATTTTTGAAAAAGCTCTTCAATCAAACAAACGAATAATTTTTTGAAGAACTTGCGTGAAATACGGATGCTTTAATGCTTCTTCAGCAGTGATCCGCTTTGCCGGATCGTAGGTTAGCATCTTTTGCATTAGGTCGAGCCCGTTTTCTGATAAATCCAAGAATCGGGATCGTAAATGTCCTTTCCTGATAGTGTTAGTAGTAAAATGAACAAACTATAAAATTATTATCACAAACTAAAAAAAAAAACCAGTTAATTTCTCCCACGAATAAAAATCACA